AAATGCGTTTCTGCAGCTTCTATAATGACATCCACCTGATTGTCTATTTCATCAATTTCTCTTTCTATTTTTTCTACCTCTGTTTCCGATTCTGGTATGCTTTCGAATATAAACATTTCTTTCAATTTGTTTAGTAATTTTTCTATTATAAGAAATTCCGATTTGATTTTACTAATATATCTTCCAATTGTGTTCTTACTTGCTCTTGTTGTTGATAGGTGCTCGTATAATTTGTTTCTTTTTCTTGTAAGCCTTGTCCTTGCATTTCTTTTCTCACGTTTCAGTCGTTCTATACTTTTCGAAGTCCCAGAAGTATCCGCCATCTTGGATTTTTACGATCTTGTGTTTTGTTTTAATAGCCTAATTTCCCAATTAAATCCGGCTGTCGAAGGTCCAAATGTTCTCACCCAACTTGAGAACGTAGTCTGATTTGCTGGTTCTTGCCTAGTTTAACTCAAAATCTCTATTTTTATGACAAATTTATTGAATTTTTTACTGCCAACTCAGTTAGAATATATATAAAAGCTACCTCCTCCGCAGGCCTTTCGATGCGGGCGGGAATAATTTGCGGGCGTGAAATTTGACCATTTTCCGAACCTGCCCGAAATGCTCCCTAAGCGCTGCGGAGGAGGTAGATATAAAAGTATAAAATCTATTTTTCCCAACGTGTCCGCGAACGCGATATATGGCGGGAAACTATAAGTACTTCATCTATAGTCATCTGTTCGTAACACCAATCAAGTACGTGATCATGATTTGCGAAGCTCTGAACTAAATCTTTTACCTCCAAAACCAAAGAGCAATCTTCTCAAAAAGAGTTTTTCATACAGCGGAGCTGTAATCTGGAATTCTCTTCCAAGACATGTTCGCTTGGCTAATTCGCTAACAGAATTTAAGAGGTCGCTAAAATTTAATGTGTAACTCTCCAATAGCGTATAGCCTATACAGTATGATATTATATTATAGTTTTATATTAATTTTTCATGTCATTAGTTTTGTAACTTTATTTATG